ATTTTGGATATTTAACAAATTTTAAATTAAATGGAAATGGATATTTATAACTACAAATATTATTATTACAAATACAAAAGCCTTTACACTTCATTTGCCAAATCAATAAATATCATTTCCACCGCATGTTACTGAGTACAACAAAATAGCATTTACACTTTCACCTTTCAACAATAATTCACAATTCATTTGCAAACATTTTCACACAAGAAGAAGTTTCACCACCTTCACTGCACACCAAATCATCACTGAAAAAGGAAAGTAATATCAGATTTCTCTTTTCACCACACACACGTAGATCTACCCGGAGACATATTCGTCATTCAGATCTACCCGAAAATCTCTGCGTGCAGGAAGACTCGTGTCTCCGTGTTGCATGGAGAGATCTCCACACAGCACAAAGATTACTCCGCGGAGCGCAGAGATCTGGTCTCCACGCACACGGAGATACGGTCTCCCCGTGCACAAAACTCCACCCACGAGTGCCCTCTCCATGGCCAGAAAACACCCTCCACTAAACACGCCAGTTTCAAATTCGAATTCCATTTGTTCATAAATAAATTTTACTGTTAATTTAGATTGTGCTTTTTAATAATTTGTGTAGATGTCTTTGGAATATATATTATCTCCAAACCAATGATTTTCTGCTACAATCACTCAATTTTCAAATTATCAATATCTTAAAGATTTTGTAGAGTTTATCAACTCAAATCAACAAGCATCTTTAATGTGTAGTAATTTTCATGGATTTATATATGGAGTTACTTATATAGCAGAAGAAGAACAACAATTCAGTAGCAAATTAGTTCATGAATTCATAATGAGACTTGTAAACTGTGGCAAAAACAATGAAGTCTTGGTGAAGTTAGATAACCATTTGGCCCGCTTTAGCATGCAAGAGATTTGTCTCATCACCGGATTACCTTGCCATGAGGTATCTATCAATCTTGATTTCAATAATGATAGACTTAGAAATCAATACTTTAATGGTACGAAAAAATTATTATAAGAATGCTTTTTGAAGCATTCCACCTATGTAAAGATCAAGAAGATAAATTTAAACTCGGACCGGTGATGTTGGTAGAATGTGTTTTAAAACATACTGGAAGATATATTGAT